CTAAAATAAGGAAAGTAAGAGCATTGTTAAGTGAATTAGATAGTACACAATAATGTATTTTATATATTTAAACTTTTTATTATGAAAAAATTGAAACATGTAAAACTAATAACATAATAAACCTGTTTTCATTCTGTAGTTTCCAGAATTTTCAACTAGTTGGGACATCCTGTAATCACAATTACTTGGGAGGCTGAGGCAAGAAGATTTCCAAGTTTCCAAGTTTGAGGCCGGCTTTGACAACTTGGTGAAACTCTGTCTCAAGAAAAAGGGGGGGCTGGGGTTATAGCTCAGTGGCAGAGCACCCCTGGGTTCAATCCCTAGTACTGAGGAAAAAGAAATTATCAACTCATGGTCAGTTTTGTTTTCTTCCCTTCCTGTATTTTACCTTATAAACCACTTTACATTATTTAAAACACTTTCATCTACATTATCACTTTTGATTTTTCATAGCAATTGTGAAAGGTAGGCTATATAATTTTACAGGAAATCCTATCTCTAACAAATTACTATTTGAATGTATATGCCAATTTTTATTATGAAGGGGAAAAAAGAATGCCATACACCTTTATGCATGTTTTATTGAGGTTTCATGCATCCCAATTCATTAGTAAAAAATCATTAACCTTAGCTATTATTCAAACTGACTAGATTATTTTTTGACAAAATTATTAGGACAATTACCCATTTCTGATTTTCTAGAAACTAGTTTCTGAATAACCTTGGACCAAACCCATCCTATAAAAATATGATTTTACTAAACAAACTACCTCTATCATTCACATTTTTTCACTTAACAGCTACAAATGTCTGAAATTTTAAGGAAGGATTCCAATTTAGAACAATTTTAGGCCAAAAGTGATGCTTATAATGGGTTCAGATATATGAAAATCAACCAAATGAGCCATTTAATTTGTGGTTCGGATGTCATTTTTCTGACAGTTATCAGTGGAACTGTCATGCATCTCTAGAATGTGGGGCTATAAGGATTATTTATTTTGATATAATTCTTTCATATGATTGCATCTGACATTTTGACAGAATGTATTTATGTGTGCATGCATGTGAGTATTGATTATCAATATTTTCCCATTACATTACTTGAATATAAATTAGTTCTGATCCTCATCATGACCTGATTTACATAATCACATTATTATCATAGCAATATTTAAAAATACTTAATTATATGTAGATATTTTTTTCTTGATCCCTTTCCTGCTTGACCAAGAATACCAAGGATGTCCCCAGTGCTCACTTGAAGGATGATTTAGTCACACTAGCAAAACCCCAGGCTCAAATGTCAAATGGGATTAAACATGCTGTAATTTTCTTGCCACAGAAGTTACAGTTGTATTACTCATGAAGGCAAACTGTAAATGTTTAGTGATTATACATGTTTTTCATCAACTCCCCAGATGGGATTTTTTTTTTTACCTTTGTTTGAGAACAACAACCGAATACTGAAATGCACCAGCTGATGCTAGCAATCCAAGGCTTCATTAGTGCACAAGAAGTAATGCTCACTTTGTTACGCAAATAATTACAGAGATTAAATGAAAATAAACAGTGAGAGGATGCGCAGACGCTCTGAAGTTAGGTTATTATTTTAATTACTCTAGTGACTTGCACCAACCTTCATTATCAGCCACAGATCAAATTTAAATTGTTTTATGTTTTCCATAAACTATATGGAAAAGTACTATAGCTACGCAGTGATTATGCTTATAAAATTGACACTTTATTCAAGTTCCCAATTTTAAAAAGTTATTTCCACTCCATCACCTAATAAACTCACTACATATTTTTGAAGCATAATAAAATTTCCACTTAGAAGTGTTTTACCCTGGTTTTATGCTTCAAATGAGCATCCTCAGTAATACTTTTTGTATCTTTATATCTTTACTCAGATTTAATAATAAAGGATTTGGGGCCACAGTTTGAATCACTGAATGTAAAACAATATAGAATATTCAATCATTTGAAATAAATGTCACTTAGAATTATGTCATCTTTATTGTATACTCTGTATTTGGAGAAGTTGATTTCTTCTTCTCCTATACTGACTTGGGAAGACTAAGGACCCACTACAGGTGGAGATACTATATAAAGGAATTTCCAGTCTTATTTAGAATTGTTTTGTTTTTGTTTTTTATTTTAGTACTGGTGAGTGAGCCCAGCTGTGCTCTACCATTGAGCTATACCCCCAACCTTTTGTTATTTTGAGACAAGGTCATGCCAAGTTTCCAAGGCTGGCCTCAAACTTGTAATCCTCCTGCCTCAGCCTTCCAAGTAATTGGCATTACAGACCTATACCACTGCATCAGGCTGTTTCACTTTATAGTCATGTGTTAAATTATGATTCTTGGAGAGCCCCAGGGTTAAGACATTGAGGAACTGTTACCTGTATTTCTTGACTGCCTCTGTGTCATGCCAGGTCTTCTGAGAAATATTTCACCTAACATCCCAATTATCCTTACACAATTCCCATGGAGTATACATTATTACACCCATTTTCCAGATGAGGAAATGAAAGCTTTGGGAGGTTCATTTACTTTCCAGAGTTACATAAGTAGAAAGAGCCCAGCTGGGAATCAAATCCAGGCCTGCCTGATTCCATATACCTTGATGTCTCCCAGCAGAAGACTGAATGAAGCAAACCTGGATGCAAATGCTGACTGAGGAAATAGGATAAAAGGAGCCACAGTCCCTGATGCACTGGTTAAGTGTTGTATTGCATGACATCAGTGAATATTATGCACTAGCTAAAATCTCAAATTTGAGTGGTTTTCAAAGTGTTTTACCTGTAAATAGCTTTGGATCTTGGAGAACACACAATTAGGAAACCGATTTCATGGTATAGTGGGACTGAGATCCTTACTAACAAAGGTTAGTGGTGTGTTTTAATACAACTCGGTAATCACTTGAACTTCACTCCAGCTAATACAGGCATTTCTCTTCAACCAAGTTTAAAAACTCCAACAGAATGGAAAATTCAGGAGCCTTTGGGGGAAAGAGAGTAGGACTGACCTGTGCCCTACCTTCTAGCTTTTAAGGAAAGCTGGTACTGGCTTCCCCCTTCCTCCCACTATGACGTAGGCTCACCAAGGCCAGACCAGGACACCGTCTTCCCAGAGTTTGCCTTACATTCAGAGATGCCTTAGGCTATTCCAGAATTTGGGTAGGGATCAAACAGAGTCTTTGTTTCTAATGTTTAGGATGTACTAATCTGCAGAATTTAAACTTAGTTGTGGGTAAGTTGGGAAGTTGGGACAGAAGACTAACCTTGTGTGTTGGGGGCGGGGGGGGGGCGGGAAGCGTTAGCCTGAGATTTCACTCTCAGGTGTCAGAATCTAAGCGGGAAGTTATGGAAATTCGCAGATGCGCAACGCCTGATAATCCGAAGGAGAGGCAACGGTAGGGCTGGGAGAAAAAGCAGCAGAAAGCCTGGAAGAGGGGAGGCAACCGAGCGAGGGGTGGGGTGGGGTGGGGTCGCAATTGCCTAGGAGCTCTGCTTTCCGCCCCGAGAATGCGCAGTCGGAGGGATTCAGATAACCGAGGGAAGATTTGCTCAGAAATTATTTATCTGGGGCACAGCCCTAAAGGGAGAGCTTTCCAGGGACGTGCCTCGAAGCATGGCCCCTCTTCTTTCTTCCTGGTACATTACAGCCAGCCTGGGAAGGATTCAGGTGGCAGGTCCGCTTGATAGAAAAAGTCCAAGTGAGCGCCAGTGGTTTTCTTAGTGTCTTCTGGACACTGTCATGGTTCTACATGTCACCTCACACTCTGATTCTGATGGTACTGGGTTTATATCTAGGAAGGCAAGCCCCGCCCGACCGGGCTGTGTCCAGAGCCCCAGCGGTGAGGAAGCCACCAGCTATACTCAGGAGACCCTCGTTCTATTTCCACTTGATCATTTGTGACTAGCCTCGAAGGAATTCTTTCAATTCTCCAGCCTGAGCTTCCTCATCCAAATAAATGAAGGTACTTCTACTTCCCAGGCCTCCTTGGATCATTGGAAGGGGTCAATCGCAATAATTCCGGTGACAGCAGACTGTTTGGGGCTATGGCTCCAAATTATTGGGGGAAATTTAGTTAAACATACTCAGCAGGAGTTTTATGAATCTTCATCCCCTCACGCCTCCCCCCCCCCACACACACACACACACACACACACTCCTCAAAGACCCAGCTGCAGTCAAAAATCTTTTGGATCGTTTCTTTCTTATGGGCTACTTCATAGATCAAACACCTAAGTGCGGGCACCCCAACATCTCCATGGGCTCCTACCGATAGCAGCCTTTCGGTGAACGGTTTCCATCCCCGACCCAACGTTCCGCACACTAATCCCTCAGCTGTGGAGCCAGCAAAGAGATCCCGTTGCTCTCTCCCGCCTTTCTCCTATTCTCGTTCCCCAGCCTAGGTCTCCCGAGTTTCCTACACGTGAATGGATTTTCCTGCTGATCTCCAAAGACCTTGCAGTATTTCAGAAAGCTGAGAGCGCGCGGAAATCAGAGAACGAGCATCACCCCTGCCCGGAGAGGTCGTGCCGCCCCGCAGGGACCCTCCTCCTGCTCCCCTTTAGGCTGTGTAGCTGCTGCCTCCCGAGCTAGCTCTCGGGGCTGTCAGCATCAGACCCCGCAGAGAGCCGGAGGCCCCCTCCCCACTTCCCTCTCGCAGCCCCTCTCCGCCAGTAGCAGCGCTGCTGTCTTCCCACAGGAGGACTGGGAGGACGCCGGAGTCTGCAGCGCCCCCGCCCCCTCGCTTTTTCTTTCTTTCCTTGCTTTGGGATCTTGCTGCCAGAGCCAGGAGAGGTTCTGAGAAGAAAAGAGCAAGGGACAGCTGCGGCGCGGGAACGGAGCTGGGGGCACAACATCTGCGGTGTCTCCTCTGGGTTCCAGCCAACCGGGTCCGCAACGTGAGGAAGAAAATCTCCCGGAGTCTGCAGCGCCCCCGCCCCCTCGCTTTTTCTTTCTTTCCTTGCTTTGGGATCTTGCTGCCGGAGCCGGGAGAGGTTCTGAGAAGAAAAGAGCAAGGGACAGCTGCGGCGCGGGAACGGAGCTGGGGGCACAACATCCGCGGTGTCTCCTCTGGGTTCCAGCCAACCGGGTCCGCAACGTGAGGAAGAAAATCTCCCTGCACCTGCCACCCGCCCTCGAAGGAGTATCTGAGAGCGTTTCCGAAGCCCGCTCTAGGAGCCCCTTTGCCCGCAGCGCCGTGGGACTAGAGTAGCGAGGCAACCCGGGTGCCGGCTCCAGGCTTCCACTCTTCGGGAAGAGCACAGTGGGGATCAGTGCCTTCCCTCACTGGGCACAACTCTGGGACCAGCAGCGCGCGGCTGGACCAAGTACCGCTTCCCGCCGACTCACCCAGAGTGAAGGGACAGCCCCTGCCCTCCCGCCCGCTTCCACTTCTTGTAGTGCTACCTTCCCCAGCACCTGCGCGGATCCCCCACGCCCAGGTGGCGAGCCCCTTGGCTCCCGGTCCCTGCAGCGCCCCTGGCCCGATGAAAAGCGCGCCGGTTGCATTTCCTTGAGTGCGGGAGCCAGCTGGCATCCTAGCCGAGCCCTGGGGTCCGCCGGCTCGTCCCCCTCTGGGGTGTCGGAGAGAACCGGGAAGTGCGCACCATGAAGTCCGTGCTGTTCAGTCGCTTTTTCATCCTCCTGCCCTGGATCCTAATTGTCATCATCATGCTCGACGTGGACACGCGCAGGCCTGCGCCCCCCCTTACTCCGCGCCCCTACTTCTCTCCCTACCCAGTGGGCCGCGGGGGCGTCCGACTCCCGCTCCGCAGAGGTAGCTCCGGGCGCGGTGCGGAGAAGCGCAACGAGTCGCGGCCGCGGCCGCAGCCGGAGCCGCTGCTGCCCACCATTTATGCCATCACGCCCACCTACAGCCGCCCGGTGCAAAAAGCCGAGCTGACCCGCCTGGCCAACACGTTCCGCCAGGTGGCGCAGCTGCACTGGATCCTGGTGGAGGATGCGGCGGCGCGCAGCGAACTGGTGAGCCGCTTCCTGGCGCGGGCCGGGCTGCCCAACACGCACCTGCATGTGCCCACGCCGCGGCGCTATAAACGGCCAGGGTTGCCGCGCGCCACGGAGCAACGCAACGCGGGCCTAGCCTGGCTGCGGCAGAGGCATCAGCACCAGCGCGCGCAGCCAGGTGTGCTCTTCTTCGCAGACGATGACAACACCTACAGTCTGGAGCTCTTCCAGGAGGTAGCGCCGGCCTGCCCCCACTGGAGGGCAAGGGCGGGAGGGGCCTCGAGTCCAGCTGGGCTGGCGTCTCACGTCCCCTTGCGCTTTGCCTGCACTTTTAAGTTCTCAGTTCTGCGTGCGCGCATTGGGAACTCAGCGTGGAGTAGCTCCACGCAGGCAGTTTGCAGCCACCGCTGACATTGGGGCAGTGGGGTGAAGCGGGTGAAAGGACCTTGTGGCCCAGGGAGACAAAGTCTGCCCTGGAGCTTTGTTGTCCCAAGACTGGGCCACAGAAATAGCACAGGTAATTTGCAGGGAACCGGCTCTGGCCAGCTTGAGGATGGAGCTCATATCTGGAGGTAGGCTTGGTGTACTCCAAGGGTTTTCAAAGCATACAGGTGTAATTCGGAGTCAGGCCCATAAGGAGGAAAGTGGAGATAACTCGAAAATCATCCCAGAAGCAAATTTCTCTCATACAGCTCCCAGGTGCAGAAATGGTTGTTAGTGAAACACTGACTTCTATGAGGGTCCTTTCTCTATCTCTTCCTTGTACTCCACAAAAGTTTTTTTCTGCCCATGATGATGAACCCTTTTCTAGGAAGCCTCTCTGGCAAATGAGTTGAGATTGTTCTGCCCTGCAGTTATCTTTTTGCAGCCCAAGATATCATCTAGCCTGACTGATGCCCTTTTCACAGCATTTCTTCCTTTAAGGCCTCTGGCTTGGGGAGTTAACAGGCTCCCTTTGCACTAGGCCATTGCTTCCAGGTGCTCCTTGAAATTCTGAGCGCAGCTGGGCGCCCTTCCTGCTGACAAGGCGTGTATATTCTTTGGAAAGCCGCAAGCATGTACAAGCAGCAGGCATGGGATTCAAACAGGTGTTGTTAAAGGCTGGTATTTTGCAGTGGGCTTGTGTGTAGTCTGCAAAGAGACTGAGTTGCATGACTTTATCAGTTTTCTTCTTCTCAGTACACAGTTACAGCTGGCCAAAACCTTGATGTCTTTGATATCCTGTGGGACTGTTTTCATCCTCCACCTGAAATTCCTTCACATCTTGCCTAGGAAAGACTCCCCCAATACCTCTTCCTCCCCTCATGTCAATTGGACATTCCCAAAACTGTGAGAATAATAATGAAGTGATAAAATAATCTGTATGACTAGTAATCTAATACCTAACTGCCCCACCCCATTTTCATCCCAATCTCTATTTTGCTTTCTTAACTTCTGGACAGTTACTTTGTACTCCGATTGTTTAGTTATTATGTGGCTTTCAAAATTTTTTTTCTTAATTGCTACCTTCATTTCCATTTATCCTCACCTTCATGAATAAAAGGAGCATCTTTTCTGGACATCATTTCACTTTATGGCTTGTTTTCCATTGTTTCTCCAGAGAAATAAGCTTGCGAATGTATTGTCTTCATTATATCCATGATTAGAAAGATGATCTGATGGTTTTAAAGTTAGGTTCTTATTTTAAGTTGGGCTGTTTATGTGCTCTTTGCTCCAAGAGTGGTCTAAGTAAAATAATGCATATCACTGTTAACATTTGAGGAGCTGGATTGTCAAGGGAAAATAATTGTATTTATCCTGGTTTGTAGTCTGTTGGCATGAGGTGTTGCATGAGTGGAAAAGTTGGCACATACTAGACAGTGAAACATTTGGAACAGTCTTTCTTTAATGCTCACCATGCTAAAAGGGAGGCTTGTTAGTGGGGGATATTATGTAGGAGGAAAATCCAGTAGGATTTTCCATCAGCTTATGGAGAGATAAAAAGAAAAGAATAGGGAGAAAAAAATAGTATTGGCAAAGAGGAAATTATAAAGAGAAATTATGCAAAACTTTTAAGACTAAAATTTTGTACAATTGGAAGTAATAAGATAATTAAAAAATGTATCTTAAGAATATGCACAACTATTTATGAAGAGTTGTCAACTATACATATCAAAAGGTTTGTTGTTTTTATGTATAATATGCATCAAACACTTAGAATTTAAGTTATATATCTCCTGGACATTTTTCCCAGACAGTAATTTTTATAACTTACAGTACATTTCTGGACCATGACTTCCAGTTCCCTTTCCCCTAGTTGTAAGATTAGGCCTCTGTGTAAGTTCGTGTTGAACACATAGTTTCCTTGTTACAACTTTTTACCTTGTATGCAAGTACCATTGAACTTGATCAGTGGAATGTACGTGTCCTTAGTCTTGTGCATTTTTCAGAATCTGGAGATTTTTGGTTTTCTTTTTTTTCTGTGAACTCTTAGTTTCATTAACGGAATGACCTACTATGCACCCATTCTGGAATTAATGATTCTATGTCTACTATGGTATAAACACTATTTTCTTGTAGAAAAGATAGGACCAGAAAAAAAAATTTTTGATAACTGCAGCTATTTGGGAAGGGAAAGATGCTGATCAGGGATACTATAGGGCTGAGGCATATATCTCAGCCCTTTATATTGTTCATACTCACAGAGTTTAGTTTTAAGTCATTCACGGGAAGGAAAGAATGTCCCAAGTCAGGCTTCATCTTTTATTCATAATGCTTCTCATTTCCATGGTTGATGTTAGAGTAGATAAGATAAAAGGAGGAAAATGAACCAGGTACAAATTAACTCACTAAGGATTGGCTGCAAATGAAGGAAAGTAAAGGATGAAAGGTCTCCAAATTGAATTACACACGCAACAGGCAATCTGTAGTCAATTATTCCTCTCTAGTAACTGGAATAGTTGAAATAGTGCTTTTTTCCTCCCATAAAGCTAATTTTCAGCCTCCCTTTTTAACTGAGCTCTGCTGCCAGGAAAGAAATATTTGCATTGAACAATCCTATGTTAACAACCAAATCCGTTCGCAAATGAAGTCAAGTGTGAGTTGTAGCCACAAAAACTTCCACTGGAGAAGGAAGTAGTAGGGTTTTATCAGGTTTCAAGTATCTCAACTACTCTGGTCCTTCCTGTGGCATTGATAGGGTTTTGCACACTGGTAATCGGGCCTGCCTGTGCATCCTATTGATCTAGCTCCCTGGAAAAGCTTATTTGCAAAGGATTTAAGCTGCTTTAATAAAAGCCACAACAACAAGCAATTGTGACTTTAGCTGGTCATATTTTCAATAACATTATTGATCAGATTTCTGTTCTTCACTAGAAAACCTTCAAAGCTTTCCTAAGTTTAAAGTGGATGCTTTTCAGGTGAAGTTAGTTTCACCTTTGGAAATCAATTGAAAGGTTAAAAAGCACTTTCCAAGCAAGGAAAAAAAAAATATCTTTAATGAGATGAGACTGGAAGACAAGCTAAGTTAATGAGACTGTATCTTGAAGATGTATCTGGAAAGCAGTTAACTAAAGAGGCCTCTTGTTTATATTTCATGTTGGGTGCTGTTATGCTGTCTGTGTGCTAGGAAGATGCTGGAGTTGAGGTTTAATACGGTCTTGCTGAAGGAAAGTAAAAGGAAAGTGGTTTCTTCCCCATAGTAAGTGCTGAACTATTTCCCCCCTCTTGCATGCAATTTACTAGAGCCATAATCCAAAGAATATTAGAGTTTACAATGCTTGACATTTCCTAAAATAGTTACTGTTTCCTGAAAGAGTTGATACAGTTACTTAGTTTAGGGTAATTATCTTCTTAAAGTGAAAAATCCTGGAAGATTGTCTTAGGTTTAGCCTAAAAGACTAACTTAAATGTACCCCTTATATTTTATTTCTTCTCCTCTGAAAGCATATTAACAGTCATGCCATGGATCTGGTAGAATGTGAGAATTTTGTAAAACTGTGTATATAAAACTACACCCAATTTTCTTAGACTATAAATATTGCATCTATAGATTTTCTTTGCTCTCTCTGGATGTATATTGCTTGAATTATGGTTCATTTTTGATTGTCTTCTTTGGAGACCAGCAGTTTTCATTTGGATTTTGATATTTTAATGGGCCAGAAATAACAATTTGGGTTTAAAAGACACTCTCCATTCTGCCTCTTCCTATTGTCTTTGTTCATCATTCTTCCTTCAACCTACTTTTCACTGATTATTCTCTCATGAATAGACATGAAGACATGTCCAGATTATTATTTGCTGTGATGGATGGTGTGTCTTTTAAAGGTTTAGGCTGCTGTTGTGGCTTCTTGGAAGCTGTAGCAGTGGCTCCGTTTTCTTCTGTCTACTCCACTTGCTTCTAAATTACAAACTGGTAAATTTTCTCTTGTGTGAACAGTAATAGAATGGTAATTGCTTTTAAGGCATGCTGCAAAAGCAAAATAGAAGATCCAAAGTCAACGGTCTTATTTATTAACTATTCCAGGTGGAATTCAAGTAGTGTTTTCTTTTTCCCCCACAGAATTCAATAATGTTCAGATATGTCTATTCAGACCTTTTGGACTCTGGTGGAATATTTGTTCAGTCTATTTAGATAGCACACTATTGTGTGTTTGATTCACAGTGCTATTGAAGCATGAAATGTAAGTTTTGGGTGGTTCTCAAATTCTCCCCCCAAACATAGGTAAAATTGTTATACCAGTTCATAGGTAAGTAGGTTGGTTTAGAATTGATTTCCAATTTGCAGAAATACAGCCATGCCTGGTAACTCTTGCATATGATTTTAAATAAATGCCAAAAATATCCCCTACTTAGATACAAGCAAATTATAGTTAACATCAATTGAGCACTTGTATGGGGGAGAAACCACTCTTATGTTTTACATATATGAAGCTCACCACACCCACTGCATGATAGTTGCTTATCATGTTCCTTTTGAGTCTCCCACAGTAATGCTTGGGTTTGAGCACAGTTCTTTGCTGAGTACATGAGGTTTAAACCTATGCAACGTGACTGTGGAATAGTGTTTACGACTGCATAATAAATCAATATCCCCATTTTTTTTTAGATGTAGTTGGACACAATACCTTTATTTTTATGTGGTGCTGAGGATAGATAGAACCCCAGGGCCTTGCACGTGCGAGGCAAGCATTCTACCGCTGAGCCATAACCCCAGCCCCTCAATATTCCCATTTTTAACTGAAGTCCCACGAAAT